TTTGTGTTACACAAACTCTATATTTAATCGTCAACGCATACAATTTAAAAATATACACAACTTTTTGTTTATTTCAATATTTTTGGTTTAAACAATTCAAACTTATGTACCTTCGAGCTAAATTTGCATTTGCTTTAAAACTAAGTAAACATGTAGTAGAGTTTTAATGATGAATAATAGTTAAAAAAATATATATATATAATCGCGCTAAGAATACGTACATACTTATACAGGGCATATGCATTCAACTCACACACATATCAAAAGCATTGATTAAAATTCACAAATAATTATAAAAATAACATTTTACCATTTGCTATATTAAAACACATTAATATATACTCAAAGGGGATAATCCCTTCCCTGGCTGTTGTGCTATGCAAAGAACCGAAAGAAAAAACAAATGCTGTGCAATATTTGAAAATGCAAAAAATACAATTGGAGTGTGCGTACACTTTTCGTACCTACTTTAGCTTTAGCTTTCTGCATGTATGTGTGTGTGCGTGTTTGTGTGTATGTCTGTATGTGTTTGTGTTTGTGTTTGCATTGCGCAAAGGAAAAACTATAACAAAATAAAATTAATACATTAAGAGATATTCTTGCTTATGCAGTGTTTAACACTGCAAGTAGTTTGAACTAAAGTGTCTCAATTTGTGTATGTGTATGTGTATGTAATTGCGTGTGTATGTATGAATTGGCTTTTTAGTATTTCGCTTTTGCGCTTTTCAAATGATAATAGGCTAAGTTTCATTACCTTAAAAACGTTGCTCACGATTCGATTACACATATTCGATTAAAAACAAACATTTCTGCGCATTGAATTGATTCTGTGTGTGCTTTGTTGTAAATTATTGTTGCTGYTTTTTGTTTGCCGCTTATTTTTTCTTATTCTTATTGTTTGCGCCGCGTGGCGGTGTTAACGGACGCCCTGAGCTGCCAAAGTTTGGATAAACAAATCGTCGCTTGTCGGCGGGTTTCAAAATCTGAAAGGAGCACATTAATGTGTCGTCCACGGACATCATGGCACCTTTGAAGTAAACAGAACAAAAATATATATAAGTACGTTATCATATTATTCTTAAATATACATACTGTAACTAGAGTCGCAGGCGTATAATCTGTTTTTCTGTTTGTATTGCCTGTGCCAATCACAATTTCTGTTTTTCGTTTGCATTAATTGTCTCAACAAACGTAAACCGCGACATCATAGTTTACTGATATCTGAGCCTGCGATTCTCACTAAAGACTTTGTTTATGTTCGATGACAGCGATCAAATGCTACAAGTCTGAGTCATATGTGGAAAATTTCTGCGAGCGCCCCCTTAATGTAATGAGATTACGTCAAATATATGATAATACCTCATCAACTTTGAATAACTATACTGCTGTTAGTGCCGTAAATGAAATTTTCAACGATACAAGAACGATTATGTAATTTCTTTTATGAAGCTTTCTAATATTGCATTATAAGACTAACATACGCCAACTTTAAGATTTGATATCATATGCAAACATATATAAAATATATATAGAGCATAGGATCATATACCTTAAGCCTTAAGAAAATATGATTCCTTATCAAAACATTAGACATCTGACGCATGCCAACATTTTTACACGTAAATTTCCATATTTGAGCGCGCGCTGTTTACATTTATTTTCTATTTTCTATAAAAGCGCTATACGCTGAGTTTTCCGCTAAACTGCCTCTATCATAACACTGAACTCTGAGCCTATTTATTTACTTGCAACTTCGTAATTGCTGTGCTTCGCCCGCAAGGTTATCTTCAAAATCTGTGCTAATCTAAAAATTATCTACACAAATTATACAGTATATGACAACAGTATTTGCTCGCATTAACAATTCTCTTTCAATGAGATAACACCCACGTCGTTTGTTGTTTAAAGTCCGGGATCGATGAGTATATACATGCACTATACATATACATATATGCATGAGTTGTATAAATATGTATATTTGTATATATATACATATTTCGTGATCACTCACCTGCATTGTCGAATTCACCGCAATAGTTGGGCGCCGAAAAGAGCGTAACCAGCTGGCGCTTGGCAAAGAACTCATAGCCATCCTCGACAACCTGATGTGCACGACATATAAGATCGAATTCGTGCTTCTGTAGAAATTTGCCGACAACCTTAGTAAATAGGAATAGAGCTTAGTATAATTTAATTAGGACACGTAGCTCTATACGTACCTCTGCTCCAAATGTGAAGCTTACGCCACGATCATTTTCGCCCCAACCCATGGTATCCTTGTCGGGATCAGACCACAAGAGATCGCATAACAGACCCTGATCGGGCACATCCGTGGGTCGCATAATGCGGCGTATTTGCTCCATTGAGGACAAATCGGGACTCAGGCCGCCGTGACAGCAAAAGATTTTCTCATCAACAATCGCAGCCACGGGCAGACAGTTGAAGCAATCTGTGAATGTTTTCCACAGCTTTATGGTATAACGTCGCTTGCATTCATCGTAGAACCTGTCAACGGGAGAGATGCATCAGTAAAAAGTCACATCAGGCACAGACATGAAATTTAAACAAATAATGCGTGATAAACGCTCGAGCGTTTCTCACGAAAGGCCATTTCCAATTAGATTATATCACAAAGTACGTATCTACATAAGAATAGCTGTCGCCTGTATGCAATTGGACAATTAAGTATCGAGAATAATGTGGTTAATGTAAGTATTCTAGATTTTCGATTTTCAATTAAAATTGATTTCAAGTTATGTGAAACTTAAGTGACAAACTTTATATGAGACACGTATTCTTTGTGTGCGCAATGTGTAATCCAATAANTCTGCGAGCGCCCCCTTAATGTAATGAGATTACGTCAAATATATGATAATACCTCATCAACTTTGAATAACTATACTGCTGTTAGTGCCGTAAATGAAATTTTCAACGATACAAGAACGATTATGTAATTTCTTTTATGAAGCTTTCTAATATTGCATTATAAGACTAACATACGCCAACTTTAAGATTTGATATCATATGCAAACATATATAAAATATATATAGAGCATAGGATCATATACCTTAAGCCTTAAGAAAATATGATTCCTTATCAAAACATTAGACATCTGACGCATGCCAACATTTTTACACGTAAATTTCCATATTTGAGCGCGCGCTGTTTACATTTATTTTCTATTTTCTATAAAAGCGCTATACGCTGAGTTTTCCGCTAAACTGCCTCTATCATAACACTGAACTCTGAGCCTATTTATTTACTTGCAACTTCGTAATTGCTGTGCTTCGCCCGCAAGGTTATCTTCAAAATCTGTGCTAATCTAAAAATTATCTACACAAATTATACAGTATATGACAACAGTATTTGCTCGCATTAACAATTCTCTTTCAATGAGATAACACCCACGTCGTTTGTTGTTTAAAGTCCGGGATCGATGAGTATATACATGCACTATACATATACATATATGCATGAGTTGTATAAATATGTATATTTGTATATATATACATATTTCGTGATCACTCACCTGCATTGTCGAATTCACCGCAATAGTTGGGCGCCGAAAAGAGCGTAACCAGCTGGCGCTTGGCAAAGAACTCATAGCCATCCTCGACAACCTGATGTGCACGACATATAAGATCGAATTCGTGCTTCTGTAGAAATTTGCCGACAACCTTAGTAAATAGGAATAGAGCTTAGTATAATTTAATTAGGACACGTAGCTCTATACGTACCTCTGCTCCAAATGTGAAGCTTACGCCACGATCATTTTCGCCCCAACCCATGGTATCCTTGTCGGGATCAGACCACAAGAGATCGCATAACAGACCCTGATCGGGCACATCCGTGGGTCGCATAATGCGGCGTATTTGCTCCATTGAGGACAAATCGGGACTCAGGCCGCCGTGACAGCAAAAGATTTTCTCATCAACAATCGCAGCCACGGGCAGACAGTTGAAGCAATCTGTGAATGTTTTCCACAGCTTTATGGTATAACGTCGCTTGCATTCATCGTAGAACCTGTCAACGGGAGAGATGCATCAGTAAAAAGTCACATCAGGCACAGACATGAAATTTAAACAAATAATGCGTGATAAACGCTCGAGCGTTTCTCACGAAAGGCCATTTCCAATTAGATTATATCACAAAGTACGTATCTACATAAGAATAGCTGTCGCCTGTATGCAATTGGACAATTAAGTATCGAGAATAATGTGGTTAATGTAAGTATTCTAGATTTTCGATTTTCAATTAAAATTGATTTCAAGTTATGTGAAACTTAAGTGACAAACTTTATATGAGACACGTATTCTTTGTGTGCGCAATGTGTAATCCAATAAGAACGTATAGCAACAACGTTCTAACTTGGATTCCAATAACATTAATCGATAGCAGTTTTAGCTTCTTCATTCGAATAATAACATTCAATATGCAGTATTCACAAGAATTGCAATATTCAATATCACATATTAATGCAAATACTTGGCTGACTATACATTTTATAGATGATCTAGATATTAGCTTTTTTATATTTATTCATTTATCTTCACTTACCCGTAGATGCGATTGATGCTTGCGCATTCGTGGTTCCCGCGCAGCAAAAAGAAATTCTCTGAATATTTTATTTTGTATGCCAATAGAAGGCAAATCGTCTCTAGGGATTGCTTGCCACGGTCCACATAGTCGCCAAGGAATAGATAGTTCGATTCTGGCGGGAAACCGCCGTACTCGAACAGACGCAACAGATCGTAATATTGTCCGTGTATGTCACCGCATATCTTGAGCGGAGCCTCCAGTTCCAATAGTATCGGTTGCGATAGGAATATTTCACGCGACTTTAAGCATAAGTTCCGTATTTCACTCTCCGATAATTGCACATTTTTGCCTGGACGGGCACCACGTACTGGAGAAAAGAAAATTTGCATATAGCTGATCTGAGGTGCAAAGTGTATTAAGTTTATTTACCTTCCAACAGACGCGAGATAATGCTGTCAATGTTCATGATGATTTCGGACATGTTTTACACTGTAACTGCTCCTGATATTGTTGTAGTTGTTGATGATGTTGCTGCTGCTTCGCTAACACCTGCGCCTATTTCTCTGTCTCCGTCTGTTTTCTTATCTGTTTACCTGCGTCCGCTCTGATTGCTACTGCTGGCTCCGTTGTTTTAGCTTAAGCTTATGTATTTTCGGTATACGTTATGTATGTTATTTCATCGATGTGTGCGCGGACAACAGGGGGCGGAGGGCCACTTCTGTATATATGTGTATATGTGTGTGTGTGTATAATATATCTGTGTGTAGGAGTGTTTGTGTAGTTGTCGTCAGGTAATACACTTTAAACAGAGCTGCGTTGAGCTGCGGGTGCGGATTTTCAATGTTTTAGCTGTTACGCCATGTACGTTCAGCGTTTGTCACTGGTTTGCGTATTGTTCGACTGCGTTTTAGTGCATTTATTGCAAGCTATTGTAGATTTTTGCGACGTCAAGAAATTTTTTCGCGCAACCACACTTCGCCGCATCGCAATCTAAATTCGCCGTGAACGCGTATCGATGACATGGACAAATATCGATATATCG